GGGAGATACACCTATTACTCCAATTTCCAACTTGAGAACGATTCTTAAATAAGTGCAGGTTCCTTTAGAAATCGGTGTCCACAATTATATGTTGCCCAAGGATATCTATTTGATAATCAATACGATTTTTACGAGTAAAAAAACGTTTTGCATACAATTGGATAAACAGTACCATAGAGCAACTTTTAGAAAACGACTGAGAGTGAAAGACCAGGTCTCTGAGGTTATTTTACAGAAAACCCAGTCTTATTTATTTACAGTCATATCTTTTATAGAGGTACTTATTACTGACAATATGCGAGTCAGTGTTTGCAAAAATACGTAGTTGCGAGATTAAGTCTTTTAGAGCGGGGCAGACACTAAAGAAGTGAAGGGAGATAAAAATATAGTATATACACAATAACATAGAGAGGAAGACCAATATTAGAGTATCCTTTGCATGCGTGAAAAACCAAAACTCCTCGTAAACACTTGTTATCGAACGCACGTCACGTAGGACGAAATATTTGTTTCCTCTCTCATTTATTCCCTCCGAGTTTTGGAATTTTATGTACTAAACGTCAATTAATGTTTATCGCTAATTGTTAACGAATTGTGCACGTTGTTTGGGTCCATGACAAAAAGGTTGGCATTTTTGGAGTTAGAATAAGATCTCATCGTTGGAAAGGTTAAGGTAATACAAGCGAAGATATTTCGTTATCGAGATATTTTGGGATGAAGTTTTTAGGGTTAGAAACACAGTAAAACATCGACAATATTGTTGTTTGGCCGTTATCTGTAGAAAATGAAGGCTTTTGAAGTGCAATTTCATCTCATAGTAGTTTCAATCTTTTTAAAAACGAGTGTGAAAGATCACGGAGATAGCTCCAGCCGATTGCGAGAAAGAAGGGTTTGATTAGGATGTTTCGAAGCGCTCTTGTTAGCGGTTTTGTAAACATTTTGGTCTTCTTTAACGAATTAGCGAATAATTTTTAAACCGCTCGATAGATTTTTTTAAAAATTCAATATTCTTGAGATTGACCTTCCTTTTATATGACCTTTTAGTTTCATGATTATTGATATCAAAAGCCTTCATTTTCTACAGATAGCGGCCAAACAACAATATTGTCGATTTTTTACTGTGTTTCTAACCCTAAAAACGTCATCCCAAAATATCTCGATAACGCTCTTACAGATTTCGCTTAAACTTCACGAACATTGAGGCCGCTATTGGAGAAAAAAGCTCCCGTGAACGATTTTGAAAGAACAGCTCCCAGTGCCGAGATATACTGCTGCAAGTAAAATAGGTAATAGCGTCATTTTTCTTGCTATGACAACTCCGATGCCGTTGCAACCCAGATCAAGACAATTTCTATCTTTATCTAATACAACTGTGGTGGCCATTTTTCCAAAACTCCGTTTATTGCAACGTAGTTTATGCTCAAACTTGGGAGGTATTGACCCTGAAAAACTGTATCGAGCCACCTTACCCTGGGACGTTTAGGCAAAGTGATACCCCCACCGTGGTACAAGGGGGAAGAGAGTTTTTGATATGTTGCAGTATTTCGAAAAGATTATACCTTCAGTGGAGAGCCTTTGATCTTTTCTAAAAGATGAAGTATATTTCATCGGTGGTGGCGCTGCTGGAGACCTGTGACGTCTCCAAACATGGTCGCCATCTTGGCCACTATTTTGGATTTTACCAATAATTAGAAATCAGGTAAAAACGGCGAGAATTGGTATTTTTTATGCTTGACATGCAGAATAACACATAAATAAGTAATTTGCTTCATTTTATGCGCATGATTTACTTTTATCGTTCAAAGAAATTGAAAAAAACACGCATTTTCACTCAAAAATTGCTAAAAACCACCTACTAGTTATGACGTCATATCTCGTAACCATAGTAACTGATGATCACGTAACTTGTCTCAAACTGCGCGTATAAGGGATAAACCAACAGCTAATGAAAAGTTGAGGTGCTTATGTTCAATCGTCTAGAAAAAAAGTCAGAAAAACCTTAGAGGGGATTGAGTAAAGGCAGGAGAGTAGAGAATTATTCCTGAATTAACATCAAATGATTAAATGTCAGTTTGTCAGGTTAATGGACCTACTTTGCAGTGGTGGTTCATACAAACATTAAGAAGAAAGATTAAAACTCTTAATTCATCTATTTATAAAATTGCTGACGAATACAATCTCTATAAGATCAAGTAAAACTTAAAGAAACTAAGGCAAAAAGAAATCTCTTAGCAGTTAGTTTGTCATTTACAGATTGAGTAAAAAAGGGCGCATTTCCATAGTTAAAATCTGATACCTTGACAATCAATAATAATAAAAGTACAAACAAACCTTTTTTGATACAAGTACCCGTCCCTATACGACAAAGCTGCTTGCGGGTAATCTTATTTTTGAGCTATTTTGTTATTTTGCGCGTTAAACGCAATTTGTTCAAAGAAACTGTTCCACCTGAACAGGAACAGGAAAAGACTGAAGACACACCTTAATAGAGATATTAGCTTTTATGCAACTGGACTAAAGATACAGGTTACATTTTGAATAGGCTTTGAATATGACTAATTGTATCAGCCACCAAAGATTGGCTAATGAGTAACCGGTCAGGGTGAGCAATTCTTTCGATCATTTGATCTCTTTTCACTTACAAGTGTTTTCGAATTTTGATAGTTCTTGCGTGCGAACTACGCTAATATATTGGTCTTTCATTCAAAGTTATTGTACATCCCTTATATTTTTATCCGTCTCTTCACTTCTATATATATAGTTTAATAAATTCTTCTCCTTCCCCGCTATAATATGAATCCCTTTTTACGTATACGAAGTAGGTGCCTCAATACTTAAGCATTTGACAGTAAAAAAATAAAGCAATAGGAAGTGGCCGTTTTCTCTTACGTGACCCCGCTATTACGGATTCGATATCGCTTTTTTTGCAAACCCCGACTCGTATGGTGAATGGTTCCTTATAAACGTTCCTCAGGATTATAAATAAATCAAGCGATAGCAGTGGATTTGGTCAGCCTATGAAACAACCTTTAGTTAGACTTTTGGAGAGTTTTGGGATTTTACTCATATTTTCTAAAGGTTGTTTTCTACTATCTTTTGCAAAATTATATTGATCTAAAAGCTGAAATAGATATCCCTGTGCAACTTATATAAGTAAGAACGCCCATCGTAAAGTGACCACTAATTTAAGAGTCATGCTCAAGTTCTTCTATTAACGAAAATTGAAGAAATTCGTATAACTCCCCCAATAATGACTCACCACATCACGGATTTCAAGTACTCCATTGAAGGATCGGTTACATCAGTCAGGATATTCAATATCCAAAAATCGTCGAACCCAACCGGAATTAAAAGCCATATAAATTTATTATTTTTCAAGACAAAAATGTGTATGCTTTCTAATTTGCTGTTATTGTCAAGTTATTTGAATATCTTTAATTTGTTTCTTGAGTTGCACAGTACTGCAGATGTATACTTCATTTTTAAATGATATTGCTGATAGAGATATTCATTACTAAAAGAGAGCTCCTTGGAAACTTGCTATTTTTGGTCAGAGCTCCGCTTTTACAATATTCAGTTTTATCATGTATCATTTTATAAGCAGATTATATTTTACCTTCATCTATGAGCACTCATCAGGAAATTTTCTGTCGCAAATCATTCTCGGATATTGTAAAAAAATAATAATAAATGAAAAAAAGGAAGTGGTAATATTTCCGTTGTTTGCCAACGCTTCTGTAGCAGAAAAAATTGTAATTGTTCAGGTTTCTGTCGATAACCTTTATAGAAGTAGTCAAATCGCAGTGGTGTATGGTCTAAAGCGTTGAAAATAGGCAGGCAAACTGCTTAAACAATTAGCCTGCGCCACAAACGTAACTTAACTTCTAACGTGGGTTAGATTACGTCTGTTACGCAGGCTATAAACAACTAGCTAGACGAAAAAGCTTAAATTACCTACTTAAGGAAGGAACGCTGGACGAAACAGCACTGTGATCTGTGAAATTAGGGACTATCACGCTCTTAAACAAATTTTAATGTCTGACTTATGAACAATTGTCGTGAGAGGAGGACCTTGAGGGGAAACCTTGTGGTTTATTAGGGCTGGTTCGGGCATTTCCTTCACTTATAGTAACAGTGGTAATTTTTTTCCCTAGAAAATTACCAAAATGAAAACAACAAAAAACAAAAAACAAAGAAAGAAAGAGAAGACGTAAATTAAATACAATTTTGTATACAGTAAATCTTTTAGTTTAAAAGATAATAAGTATGAATAAAAAAGTTACACTATAATGAAATCTCGAACAAGGGGAAGTACTTCGAATAGGGGGAAATAATGAAGACACGCCTACATAAAAATAGAGCGATAGTATTATTAACTCAGCATCAATATTGCTACGCCCTCAGTTGCGGATGGGGAGAAACCTCAATGGCGCGGGTAAAAGTTCAAAATCCTCTTTTTGCAAATCTCAATATCTTTCTGTGGTGTGACAAATTAGAAATGAAATTTGTAGGGGTTAAATGTTCCTCTCCTTTTTTACATTTTTAGCTGAGTTAAACATAGTTTCAGGTAGGTTAAGTGTAAACTATGAACCATGACTTATACTCAATCACGCTTTCTCAAACACTGTTGCTTAAAGCATTTATAACCTCCTTAGTATTTTTGGCAATTTTAAATAAGTTAAATAACTGATTACTATAGATTACTATCGGGGCTAATATACGACATGTGCAACAGGAAACTTTTTTAGTCCAGAAGGATATATACCTATTGGTCTTTATTTAGCTTATTGAGCCTTAAGTGTAGGTCCTCGTCATATTTTTTATGTTTTCATTGGTAACAAAACGTGATGTTTAAATTTCACACATGATGTTAATTTTAGAAAGATATCCTGGATATTTGTTTTGAATCAAAATATCACGATACATACGATCGTTACATAGCACATAAAAGCGCGACTTGAGTTTCCATGAACCAGTAGTCAACTGAAGAAGTTTTGGAGATGAAGACTCTAATTCTGTTGGCATTGCTTGGCTTTGTACTGGCCCTTAGCTTGGCTATTCCATTCAACGGAGATACTGCTGAAGCATATGATGCTGAAAGTAACGATCTTGCGGGGGACGTCCAAGCAGACGAAAAAGAAGGGTAAGAAATAGAAGAAAGACACGTAGCCTGTTTCATTGATGCAGTTACTTACAGATTTTCAAAGACTTAATTGTAGCTTATCTGTAATGGCTAAAAATGTACTCATTTTCAATTCCATGATACGTATGTGTCCTTTTTCATTGCTCTCCAAACAGTCCTACGTTTAAGTGATTACATCGAGGTTACAGTTGTTGAGGCCCCAACACAGAATTCAAACAAACGAAAACGCTTTGTCAAAATGTATATATTTTTTTCATAAAGTAACGTTTTTCATCCAGCAAATAAGTTATGAACCCGGCAGGGTAATTTTCTTTTCATTATAGTGTATTTGCCCTTTGTTAAATCTCTAGCTAAAACAAGGATAATTTGGTATTGTCATATAAAAAATATATAATTATATAAAAACTTATTTCACTAGATCGCCAACAAAGCACATAAATAATGATTTCGGCTGTGAGGACCTGCGTCGGTCTGCCACGTTCCCCACGTAGCCTTCTTTAATGGTAGATCGGTAAATCACGATAATTATAGCCTTTGCCGAATAGTTACACAAAAAGGTATTGTTTCCTGTTTGATTATTTGGATGCATGAATAGAGTTTGCAACAAACAATGGAAACAAATTTCCAGTTAATACAAAAATAAGTATCATATCATAAACATTAAATATCGAATATCAATTTCGTTTGCTTAAACAGCAGCAACAAAGACATGAACCACAGTAACGAAAACGAAGAAGACCAAGAAGACGATGACGAAAATGTTTATGCTGTACGGCAAGTAGACGATGATGACGAGGGAGGGGAGAACGAAGATGAGAATGCAAACGCTTTGATCAAGCCAGGAAATGAAGTTGAAGATCCTATCTGGCCTCTTCTCATTGGTCGCGCAGTATTTCGACGTTTCCGCCGCCGACGTAGCGGCCGGCGCGGGGGTTGGCGTCGTAGACGTAGAGGCCGTCGCGGGGGTTGGCGTCGTAGACGTAGAGGCCGTCGATGGGGTTAAAGCTGGAAATGTTAAAAGTAGGTGTATATATCTATATTTAACGTATCTATCAATCTATCCCTCTACCCATCCGTTTGTATTTGTCTGTCGATCTGTTTCTTTGTTTGTCTATTTATCTATACATTGTTTCAAGTACAATCTGGACAATCTGCAATCTGTATTGCGTTTCGTACATCTCCACAAGTTTGTTTTTACTATATTCACCTCTCAGGCATTAGCTAGAGTCTGCATATTTTACCACATACATAAGGGGGCTACCACTCTTCTTTCAAGTTGGTGGTTTCTGGTAGTTTAAATTTTGCAACGAACAAACTAAAATAGTGCGGAAGAATCTTGACCCGGGAGCGCGACCTGTCCTCGGTCGGTAGCCATCTTGAACTGTTTAAAGGATGATATGTCTTTTTTCTTTTTTTCTATTCTCGTTTAACAGCACAGAGTAAGAACAGGTCATTAAAAATTTCTTTTATTAGTAGCAACGTAAAACACGTAAGAAATCGATTTATTATTACTTTGATTTCTCACTGTCACTAAAAGAACGTAAATTTAGGACATTGCCTAGCAATTACAATCGATTAATAAATTATTTATTTTCGTTTTTATGTCATTTATTTTTTGCATTTATTTTTTGTTTCTTGCACCTTTTTCTAGGTCTTTCAGAACGTCCCTGTTAGAAGCGACTGCCTGGATAGGATTTAATGACTAAATCAAACAGCGAGCATCTTTTAATCTAGTTATCGTAAACACTCTTGTGTAAAATATGGTTTACTCCTGTGGTTGGTTAGACCTCTTTTACGTTCAAAAGTTTATGAAATAGATTTACATTGACTTAATATCTTAGCATGCTATAACAAAACGTACTACTAAAGATATGTAAGGGAATTTAAACTGAATAAACAAAATGCAATTAGACGAGCTGTTGAGTTCTTCTGTGTCTCAGTGTAACTTCTTATTAGCTAAGATAATGGAAGACATTTTCACTATGGTTTCTGTATGACAGGACTCGTATATCCTTTCTGTCAATGTAGTCACTTTATTGATCGCAAACTTTTCACAGCTTACGGCTGGTTTCCATCATGCGATTATATCATTTGCAGCATTAGCGTACAGCCGACGCAGTTGCCTGTTAAAATTTTCTCAGTGCAGTGTTCTTTTTGAGCTAAATACGAGAAAAAATCTTCCATACAAATGCATCGGCTATACTTGCATGCTGCAGACGAATTCACCCTTAATCCTAGTCGGCCCAGACAGGGCTTCGGAGCCCCTCTCTCTCTTATACTCGCAAAAATGTTGAATAAATTCAAAACCGTTCAAGCTATGGCCACCAAACTTTGAGACTTTTCCTAAAAATTATCTCGGGACAATTAAATTTGTCTTGACGTGTACGTCAAAATTTAGGTTAACTTTGGAACCAAGTTGATAGTAAAAGCAAAGACATGACAAAAGGCTTTAAATCCAAATTAATTGGTAGTTAATTTCGCTAGAGCTCTTTTTTAATCCAGAATATCTGTATCACGATATCAATTATATTTCTTGTGATATCAAAATAAGTATACCCCCCTATATTTAGAAATTTAGGTTCAAGAGATCACTTTTCACTGGTTAAAATAATCAAACCCACAAAATATGCTCTGTATTTCAATCCCTGCTAGCAGAAAAAATGATATTCTTTAGGCGTGTCATTTACAATTTTCCTGTTTTTCAATTACTTTCCTTAAGAAATCTTTAAAAAAAAAACATAAAAGGAAAACGTGACCACGTACGTAAGAAGACTTCAATGTGTACATTGTCGTCCGAAAATCGATTACACGGACACAGTTGCAAAAGTATCTCAAACGTTTACGTTGCTTTCGATGCTTAAAAACAATTATTAGCAAAATAGTTCAAGAATACCTTTCATTACCTGCAAGTAGCATTTTCATACACGTATATGAACGGGTTAAATTGTGAAAAAATGGCTGGATGGAATAAAGTTTCTTCGGAACATCTTACACTAATTAATAATTCAAAGCATCATTCACTTTAGCTATAGGATCCTTTCGTTTTCGCAAACTTGGAGTATCTTTCGCTGCAGTGTTAACATTTGTTGCTCGAATTGGGTCGATGAAAAGAATTTGGAATTTCTGGAGGTAGAATGAGATCTCATCGTTGGAAAGGTTAAGGTAAAACAAGCGAAGATATTTCGATTTAATAATAGCTGCCATTTATAATTAACAATGAGGCCCACAGCAACCAACCGTTGAACATGGTAGCTACGCTTGTTTCTTTCCATGAGTGAGTCTCTCAGTCTATTGCTCAAGGATATTTATGTGTTAACCCTGGGACGTTCACGCAAAGTGATACCGCCACCGTTGTACGAGGGGGAAGAGAGTTTTTGATATGCTGCAGCATTTCGAAAAGATTATACCTTCAGTGAAGAGCCTTTTATCTTCCCTAAAGATGAGGTATATCTTATCGGTAGTGGCGCTGCTAAGACCTGTGGTGTCACCAAACATGGTCGCCATCTTGGCCACCATCTTAGATTTTACCGATAATTAGAAATCAGGTAAAAACGGCGAGAATTGGTATTTTTGTGCTTGACATGTAGAATAACACATAAATAAGTAACTTGCTTCATTTTATCCACAAGATTTACTTTTATCGTTCAAAGAAATTGAAAAAAAAAACATGCATTTTCACTCAAAAATGGCTAAACCACCTGCTAGTTATGACGTCTTATCTCGTAACCATAGCAACTGATCATCACTTAACTTGTCTCAAACTGCTCGTAAGGGATAAACCAACAGCTAATGAAAAGTTAAGGTGCTTATGTTCAAACGTCTAGAAAAAAAAGTCAGAAAAATCTTAGAGGGGATTGAGTAAAGGCAGGAGAGTAGAGAATTTTTCCTGAATCAACATCACATGATTAAATGTCAATTTGTCAGGTTAATGGACCTACTTTGCAGTGGTGGTTTATACAAACATTAAGAAGAAAGATTAAAACTCTTAATTCATCTATTTATAAAATTGCTGACGAATACAATCTCTATAAGATCAAGTAAAACTCAAAAAAACTAAGATGAAAAGAAATATCTTAGCAGTTAGTTTGTTATGTACAGATTGAGTTAAAAAGGGCGCATTTCCATGGTTAAAATCTGATACCTTGACAATCAATAATAATAAAAGTACAAACAAACCTTTTTTGATACAAGTACCCGCCCCTATACGACAATACTACTTGCTGGTAATCTTATTTTTGAGCTATTTTGCTATTTTGCGCATTAAACGCAATTTGTTCAAAGAAACTGTTCCACCTGAACAGGAACAGGAAAAGACTGAAGACACACCTTAATAGAGATATTAGCTTTTATGCAGCTGGACTAAAGATACAGGTTATATGTTGAATAGGCTTTGAATATGACTAATTGTATCAGCCACCAAAGATTGGCTAATGAGTAACCGGTCAGGGTGAGCAATTCTTTGTCAAACGATAACGATCATTTGACCTCCATTCACTTACAAGCGTTTTCGAATTTTGATACTTCTTGCATGCGAACTACGCTAATATATTATTAGTCTTTCATTCAAAGTTATTGTATATCCCTTATATTTTTATCCGTCTCTTCACTTCTTTATATATAGTTTCAAATTCTTCTCCTTCCCCGCTACAATACAAATCACTTTTTTCGTATACGAAGTAGGTGCCTCAATACTTAAGCATTTGACAGTAACAAAATGAAGCAAAAGGAAGTGGCCGTTTTCTCTTACGTGACCCCGCTATTATGGATTCGATATCGCTTTTTTTGCAATTACCGACTCGTATGGTGAATGGTTCCTTATAAACGTTCCTCAGGATTATAAATAAATCAAGCAATAGCAGTGGATTTGGTCAGCCTGTGAAACAACCTTTATTTAGACTTTTGGAGAGTTTTGGGATTTTACTGATATCTTCTAAAGGTTGTTTTCTAATATCTTTTGTCTGGTTTATGCAAAACAGTTGATTAATATTGCAAAATTATATTGATCTAACAGCTGAAATAGATATCCCTGTGCAACTTATATAAGTAAGAACGCCCATCGTAAAGTGACCACTAATTTAAGAGTCATGCTCCAGTTCTTCTATTAACGAAAATTGAAGAAATTTGTACAACTCCCCCAATAATGACTCACCACATCACGGATTTCATGTATTCCATTGAAGGATCGGTTACATCAGTCAGGATATCCCTGAATCGTCGAACCCAACCGGAATTAATAGCCATATACATTTACTATTTTTCAAGCAAAGAATGTGTATGCTTTCTAATTTGTTGTTATTGTCAAGTTATTTGAATATCTTTAATTTGTTTCTTCAGTTGCACAGTACTGCAGATGTACTGAATTTTTTAAATGATATTGTGATACAGATATTCATTACAAAAAAAGAGATCTTGCGAAACGTGCTACTTTTGGTCAGAGCTCCGCTTTTACAATATTCAGTTTTATAATGTATCATTTTATAAGCAGGTTATATTTTACCTTCATCTATGAGCACTGATCAGGAAATTTCCTGTTGCAAATCAATCTCGGATGTTCTAAAAAACAATAAAAAAAAGGAGGAAGTGGTAATATTACCATTGTTTGCCAACGCTTCTGTAGCTACAAAAAATTGTGATTGATCAGGTTTATATCCATAGCCTTTGTAGAAGTAGTCAAATAGCAGTGGTGTAGGGTCTAAAGCGTTGAAAATAGGCAGGCAAACAGCTTAAACAATTAGCCTGCGCCACAAACGTAACTTAACTTCTAACGGGGGTTAGATTACGTCTGTTACGCAGGCTATAAACAACTAGCTAGACGAAAAAACATAAGTTACCTACTTAAGGAAGGAACGCTGGACGAAACACAGCACTATGATCTGTGAAATTAGGGACTATTACGCTCTTAAAAACATTTTAATGTCTGACTTATGAACAATTGTCGTGAGAGGAGGACCTTGAGCGGAGACCTCGTGGTTTATTAGGGCTCGTTCGGGCATTTCCTTCACTTATAGTAACAGTGGTAATTTTTTTCGCTAGAAAATTACCAAAATGAAAACAACAAAAACCAAAAAACAAAGAAAGAAAGAGAAGACGTAACTTAAATACAATTTTGTATGCAGTAAATCTTTTAGTTTAAAAGATAATAAGTATGAATAAAAAAGTTACATTATAATGCAATCTCGAACAAGGGGAAGTACTTCGAATAGGGGGAAATAATGAAGACACGCCTACATAAAAATAGAGCGATAGTATTATTAACTCAGCAACAATATTGCTACACCCTCAGTTGCGGATGGGGAGAAACCTCAATGGCGCGGGTAAAAGTTCAAAATCCTCTTTTTGCAAATCTCAATATCTTTCTGTGGTGTGACAAATTAGAAATGAAATTTGTTGGGGTTAAATGTTCCTCTCCTTTTTTACATTTTTAGCTGAGTTAAACATAGTTTCAGGTAGGTTAAGTGTAAACTATGAACCATGACTTATACTCAATCACGCTTTCTCAAACACTGTTGTTTAAAGCCTTTATAACCTCCTTAGTATTTTTGGCAATTTTAATATAAGTTAAATAACTGATTACTATAGATTACTATCGGGGGTAATATACGACATGTGCAACAGGAAACATTTTTAGTCAAGAAGGATATGTACTTATTGGTCTTTATTTACCTTATTGAGCCTTAAGTGTAGGTCCTCGTCATATTTTTTATGTATTCATTAGTAACAAAATATGATGTTTAAATTTCACACATGATGTTAATTTTAGAAAGATATCCTGGATATTTGTTTTGAATCAAAATATCACGATACATACGATCGTTACATAGCACATAAAAGCGCGACTTGAGTTTCCATGAACCATTAGTCAACTGAAGAAGTTTTGGAGATGAAGACTCTAATTCTGCTGGCATTGCTTGGCTTTGTACTGGCCCTTAGTTTGGCTATTCCATTCAACGGAGATACTGCTGAAGCATATGATGCTGAAAGTAACGATCTTGCGAGGGACGTCCAAGCAGACGAAAAAGAAGGGTAAGAAATAGAAGAAAGACACGTAGCCTGTTTCATTGATGCAGTTACTTACAGATTTTCAAAGACTTAATTGTAGCTTATCTGTAATGGCTAAAAATGTACTCATTTTCAATTCCATGATACGTATGTGTCCTTTTTCATTGCTCTCCAAACAGTCCTACGTTTAAGTGATTACATCGAGGTTACAGTTGTTGAGGCCCCAACACAGAATTCAAACAAACGAAAACGCTTTGTCAAAATGTATATATTTTTTTTCATAAAGTAACGTTTTTCATCCAGCAAATAAGTTATGAACCCGGCAGGGTAATTTTCTGTTCATTTTTGCGTATTTGCCCTTTGTTAAATCTCTAGCTAAAACAAGGATAATTTGGTATTGTAATATAAAAAATATATAATTATATAAAAACTTATTTCACTAGATCGCCAACAAAGCACATAAATAATGATTTCGGCTGTGAGGACCTGCGTCGGTCTGCCACGTTCCCCACGTAGCCTTCTTTAATGGTAGATCGGTAAATCACGATAATTATAGCCTTTGCCGAATAGTTACACAAAAAGGTATTGTTTCCTGTTTGATTATTTGGATGCATGAATAGAGTTTGCAACAAACAATGGAAACAAATTTCCAGTTAATACAAAAATAAGTTTCATATCATAAACATTAAATATCGAATGTCAATTTCGTTTGCTTAAACAGCAGCAACAAAGACATGAACCACAGTAACGAAAACGAAGAAGACCAAGAAGACGATGACGAAAACGTTTATGCTGTACGGCAAGTAGACGATGATGACGAGGAAGGGGAGAACGAAGATGAGAATGAAAACGCTTTGATCAAGCCAGGAAATGAAGTTGAAGATCCTATCTGGCCTCTTCTCATTGGTCGCGCAGTATTTCGACGTTTCCGCCGCCGACGTAGAGGCCGGCGCGGGGGTTGGCGTCGTAGACGTAGAGGCCGTCGATGGGGTTAAAGCTGGAAATGTTAAAAGTAGGTGTATATATCTATATTTAACGTATCTATCAATCTATCCCTCTACCCATCCGTTTGTATTTGTCTGTCGATCTGTTTCTTTGTTTGTCTATTTATCTATACATTGTTTCAAGTACAATCTGGACAATCTGCAATCTGTATTGCGTTTCGTACATCTCCACAAGTTTGTTTTCACTATATTCACCTCTCAGGCATTAGCTAGAGTCTGCATATTTTACCACATACATAAGGGGGCTACCACTCTTCTTTCAAGTTGGTGGTTTCTGGTAGTTTAAATTTTGCAACGAACAAACTAAAATAGTGCGGAAGAATCTTGACCCGGGTGCGCGACCTGTCCTCGGTCGGTAGCCATCTTGAACTGTTTAAAGGATGATATGTCTTTTTTCTTTTTTTCTATTCTCGTTTAACAGCACAGAGTAAGAACAGGTCATTAAAAATTTCTTTTATTAGTTGCAACGTAAAACACGTAAGAAATCGATTTATTATTACTTTGATTTCTCACTGTCACTAAAAGAACGTAAATTTAGGACATTGCCTAGCAATTACAATCGATTAATAAATTATTTATTTTCGTTTTTATGTCATTTATTTTTTGCATTTATTTTTTGTTCCTTGCACCTTTTTCTAGGTCTTTCCGAACGTCCCTGTTAGAAGCGACTGCCTGGATAGGATTTAATGACTAAATCAAACAGCGAGCATCTTTTAATCTAGTTATCGTAAACACTCTTGTGTAAAATATGGTTTACTCCTGTGGTTGGTTAGACCTCTTTTACGTTCGAAAGTTTATGAAATAGATTTACATTGACTTAATATCTTAGCACGCTATAACAAAACGTACTACTAAAGATATGTAAGAGAATTTAAACTGAATAAACAAAATGCAATTAGGCGAGCTGTTGAGTTCTTCCCTGTCTCAGTGCAACTTCGTATTAACTAAGATAATGGGAGACATTGTCACTATGGTTTCTGTATGACAGGACTCGTATATCCCTTCTGTCAATGTAGTCACTTTATTGATCGCGAACTTTTCACAGCCTTCGGCTGGTTTCCATCATTTGATTATATCATTTGCAGCATTAGCGTACAGCCGACGCAGTTGCCTGTTAAAATTTTCTCAGTGCAGTGTTCTTTTTGAGCTAAATACGAGAAAAAATCTTCCATACAAATGCATCGGCTATACTTGCATGCTGCAGACGAATTCACCCTTAATCCTAGTCGGCCCAGACAGGGCTTCGGAGCCCCTCTCTCTCTTATACTCGCAAAAATGTTGAATAAATTCAAAACCGTTCAAGCTATGGCCACCAAACTTTGAGACTTTTCCTAAAAACTATCTCGGGACATTTAAATTTGTCGTGACGTGTACGTCAAAATTAAGGTTAACTTTGGAACCAAGTTTATAGTAAAAGCAAAGATACGACAAAAGGCTTTAAATCCAAATTAATTGGTTGTTCATTTCGCTAGAGCTCTTTTTTAATCCAGAATATCTGTATCACGATATCAGTTATATTTCCTGTGATATCAAATAAGTACACCCCCCTATATTTAGAAATTTAGGTTCAAGAGATCACTTTTCACTGGTTAAAATAATCAAACCCACAAAATATGCTCTGTATTTCAGTCCTGCTAGCAGAAAAAATGATATTCTTTAGGCGTGTCATTTACAATTTTCCTGTTTTTCAATTACTTTCCCTAAGAAATCTTAAAAAAAAAAAAAACATAAAAGGAAAACGTGACCACGTACGTAAGAATACTTCAATGTGTACATTGTCGTCCGAAAATCGATTACACGGACACAGTTGCAAAAGTATCTCAAACGTTTACGTTGCTTTCGATGCTTAAAAACAATTATTAGCAAAATAGTTCAAGAATACCTTTCATTACCCGCAAGTAGCATTTTCATACACATATATGAACGGGTTAAATTGTGAAAAAATGGCTGGATGGAATAAAGTTTCTTCGGAACATCTTACACTAATTAATAATTCAAAGCATCATTCACTTTAGCTATAGGATCCTTTCGTTTTCGCAAACCTGGAATATCTTTCGCTGCAGTGTTAACATTTGTTGCTCGAATTGGGTCGATGAAAAGAATTTGGAATTTCTGGAGGTAGAATGAGATCTCATCGTTGGAAAGGTTAAGGTAAAACAAGCGAAGATATTTCGATTTAATAATAGCTGCTATTTAACAATGAGGCCCACAGCAACCAACCGTTGAACATGGTAGCTACGCTTGTTTCTTTCCATGAGTGAGTCTCTCAGTCTATTGCTCAAGGATATTTATGTGTTAACCCTGGGACGTTCACGCAAAGTGAAACCGCCACCGTTGTACAAGGGGGAAGAGAGTTTTTGATATGCTACAGCATTTCCAAAAGATTGTACCTTCAGTGAAGAGCCTTTTATCTTCCCTAAAGATGAGGTATATTTTATCGGTGGTGGCGCTGCTAAGACCTGTGGTGTCACCAAACATGGTCGCCATCTTGGCCACCATCTTAGATTTTACCGATAATTAGAAATCAGGTAAAAACGGCGAGAATTGGTGTTTTTGTGCTTGACATGTAGAATAACACATAAATAAGTAATTTGCTTCATTTTATCCACAAGATTTACTTTTATCGTTCAAAGAAATTGAAAAAAAAAACATGCATTTTTACTCAAAAATGGCTAAACCACCTGCTAGTTATGATGTCTTATCTCGTAACCATAGTAACTGATCATCACTTAACTTGTCTCAAACTGCGCGTAAGGGATAAACCAACAGCTAATGAAAAGTTAAGGTGCTTATGTTCCATCTTCTAGAAAAAAAAGTCAGAAAAACCTTAGAGGGGATTGAGTAAAGGCAGGAGAGTAGAGAATTTTTCCTGAATCAACATCACATGATTAAATGTCAGTTTGTCAGGTTAATGGACCTACTTTGCAGTGGTGGTTTATACAAACATTAAGAAGAAAGATTAAAACTCTTAATTCATCTATTGATAAAATTGCTGACGAATACAATCTCTATAAGATCAAGTAAAAAAACTAAGGTGAAAAGAAATATCTTAGCAGTTAGTTTGTTATGTACAGATTGAGTTAAAAAGGGCGCATTTCCATAGTTAAAATTTGATACCTTGACAATCAATAATAATAAAAGTACAAAGAAACCTTTTTTGATACAAGTACCCGCCCCTATACGACAATGCTACTTGCTGGTAATCTTATTTTTGAGCTATTTTGCTATTTTGCGCATTAAACGCAATTTGTTCAAAGAAACTGTTCCAGCTCAGTCCGTGAAGAACAGGAAAAGACTGAAGACACACCTTAATAGAGATATTAGCTTTTATGCAGCTGGACTAAAGATACAGGTTATATGTTGAATAGGCTTTGAATATGACTAATTGTATCAGCCACCAAAGACTGGCTAATGAGTAACCGGTCAGGGTGGGCAATTCTTTGTGAAACGATAACGATCATTTGATCTTCATTCACTTACAAGTGTTTTCGAATTTTGATAGTTCTTGCATGCAAACTACGCTAATATATTGGTCTTTCATTCAAAGTTATTGTACATCCCTTATATTTTTATCCGTCTCTTCACTTCTAATATGAATCACTTTTTTCGTAAACGAAGTAGGTGCCTCAATACTTAAGCATTTGACAGTAAAAAAATAAAGCAATAGGAAGTGGCCGTTTTCTCTTACGTGACCCCGCTATTACGGATTCGATATCCCTTTTTTTGCAAACACCGACTCGTATGGTGAATGGTTCCTTATAAACGTTCCTCAGGATTATAAATAAATCAAGCAATAGCAGTGGATTTGGTCAGCCTGTGAAACAACCTTTAGTTAGGCTTTTGGAGAGTTTTGTGATTTTACTGATATTTTCTAAAGGTTGTTTTCTACTATCTTTTGTCTGGTTTATGCAAAACAGTTGATTAATATTGCAAAATTATATTGATCTAACAGCTGAATAGATATCCCTGTGCAACTTATATAAGTAAGAACGCCCATCGTAAAGTGACCACTAATTTAAGAGTCATGCTCAAGTTCTTCTACTAACGAAAATTGAAGAAATTCGTATAACTCCCCCAATAATGACTCACCACATCACGGATTTCATGTACTCCATTGAAGGATCGGTTACATCAGTCAGGATATTCAATATCCATAAATCGTCGAACCCAACCGGAATTAAAAGCCATATAAATTTATTACTTTTCAAGAGAAAAATGTGTATGCTCTCTAATTTGTTGTTATTGTCAAGTTATTTGAATATCTTTAATTTGTTTCTTGAGTTGCACAGTACTGCAGATGTATACTTAATTTTTAAATGATATTGCTGATAGAGATATTCATTACTAAAAGAGAGCTCTTGGGAAACTTGCTATTTTTGGTCAGAGCTCCGCTTTTACAATATTCAGTTTTATCATGTATCATTTTATAAGCAGGTTATATTTTACCTTCATCTATGAGCACTCATCAGGAAATTTTCAGTTGCAAATCAATCTCGGATGTTGTAAAAAAATCATAAGTTTAAAAAAGGAAGTGGTAATTTTACCGTTGTTTGCCAACGCTTCTGTAGCAGAAAAAAATTGTATTGTAATTGTTCAGGTTTCTCTCGATAACCTTTATGGAGGTAGTCAAATCGCAGTGGTGTATGGTCTAGAGCGTTGAAAATAGGCAGGCAAACAGCTTAAACAATTAGCCTGCGCTACAAACGTAACTTAACTTCTAACGGGGGTTAGATTACGTCTGTTACGCAGGCTATAAACAACTAGCTAGACGAAAAAGCTTAAATTACCTACTTAAGGAAGGAACGCTGGACGAAACACAGCATTATGATCTGTGAAAGTAGATGAACAATTGTCGTGAGAGGAGGACCTTGTGCAGAGACCTCGTTGTTTATTAAGGCTCGTTCGGGCATTTCCTTCACTTATAGTAACAGTGGTAATCATTTTTTCGCTAGAAAATTACCAAAAAGAAAACAACAAAAACCAAAAAACAAAGAAAGAAAGAGAAGACGTAAATTAAGTACAATTTTGTATACAATAAATCTTTTAGTTTAAAAGATAATAAGTATGAATAAAAAAGTTACATTATAATGCAATCTCGAACAAGGGGAAGTACTTCGAATAGGGGGAAATAATGAAGACACGCCTACATAAAAATAGAGCTGGTATTATTAAATCAGCAACAATATTGCTACGCCCTCAGTTGCGGATGGGGAGAAACCTCAATGGCGCGGGTAAAAGTTCAAAATCCTCTTTTTGCAAATCTCAATATCTTTCTGTGGTGTAAAAATTAGAAATGAAATTTGTTGGGGTTAAATGTTCCTCTCCTTTTTTACATTTTTAGCTGAGTTAAACATAGTTTCAGGTAGGTTAAGCGTAAACTATGAACCATGACTTATGCTAAATCACGCTTTCTCAAACACTGTTGTTTAGAGCCTTTATAACCTCCTTGGTATTTTTGGCAATTTTAAATAAGTTAAATAACTGATTACTATAGATTACAATCGGGGCTAATATACGACATGTACAACAGGAAACATTTTTAGTCAAGAAGGATATGTACCTATTGGTCTTTATTTAGCTTATTGAGCCTTAAGTGTAGGTCCTCGTCATATTTTTTATGTATTCACTGGTAACAAAACGTGATGTTTAAATTTCACACATGATGTTAATTTTAGAAAGATATCCTGGATATTTGTTTTGAATCAAAATATCACGATACCTAGGATCGTTGCATAGCACATAAAAGCGCGACGTGCGTTTCCATGAACCAGTAGTCAACTCAAGAAGTTTTGGAGATGAAGACTCTAATTCTGTTGGCATTGCTTGGCTTTGTACTGGCCCTTAGCTTGGCTATTCCATTCAACGGAGATACTGCTGAAGCATATTATGCTGAAAGTAACGATTTTGCGAGGGACGTCCAAGCAGACGAAAACGAAGGGTAAGAAAGACACGTAGCCTGTTTCATTGATGCAGTTACTTATAGATTTTCAAAGACTTAATGGTAGCTTATCTGTAATTGTTAAAAATGTACTCATTTTCAATTCCATCATATGTATGTGTCCTTTTTCATTGCTCTCCAAACAGTCCTACGTTTAAGTGATTACATCGAGGTTACAGTTGTTGAGGCCCTAACATAGAATTCAAACAAACGAAAACGCTTTGTCAAAATGTATATTTTTTTTTTTTCATAAAGTAACGTTTTTCATCCAGCAAATAAGTTATGAACCCGGCAGGGTAATTTTCTGTTCATTATAGTGTATTTGCCCTTTGTTTAATCTCTAGCTAAAACAAGGATTATTTGGTATTGTAATATAAAAAATATATAATTATATGAAAACTTATTTGACTAGGTCGCCAACAAAGCACATAAATACTTATTTCGGCTGTGAGGACCTGTGTCGGTCTGCCAAGTTCCCGACGTAGCCTTCTTTAATGGTCGGTAAATCACGATAATTATAGCCTTTGCCGAATAGTTACACAAAAAAGTATTGTTTACAGTTTGATTATTTGGATGCATGAATAGAAGTTTGCAACAAACAATGGAAACAAATTTCCAGTTAATACAAAAATAAGTATCATATCATAAACATTAAATATCGAATATCAATTTCGTTTGCCTAAACAGCAGCAACAAAGATATGAACCACAGTAACGAAAACGAAGAAGACCAAGAAGAAGATGACGACAACGTTTATGCTGTACGGCAAGTAGACGATAATGACGAGGAAGGGGAGAACGAAGATGAGACTGAAAACGCTTTGATCAAGCCAGGAAATGAAGTTGAAGATCCTATCTGGCCTCTTCTCATTGGTCGCGCAGTATTTCGACGTTTCCGCCGCCGACGTAGAGGCCGGCGCGGGGGTTGGCGTCGCCGACGCAGAGGCCGTCGCGGAGGTTGGCGTCGTAGACGTAGAGGCCGTCGATGGGGTTAAAGCTGGAAATGTTTAAAGTAGGTGTATATATCTATATTTAATGTATCTATCAATCTATCCCTCTACCCATCCGTTTGTATTTGTCTGTCGATCTGTTTCTTTGTTTGTCTATTTATCTATATATTGTTTCAAGTACAATTTGGACAATCTGCATGTATTTCTTTTTGCACGTCTCCACAATTTTGCTTTTACTATATTTACCTCTCAGGCAACACATAGAGTGGGCTTATTTTACCACATATATAGGGAAGTTGCCACTCTTTTTCACAAGTTGGTGGTTTCTGGTAGCTTACACTTTGCAAAGAACAAAGTAAAACAGTGCGGAAGTATGTTGACCGGGTGCGCGACTTGTCCTGGGTCGGCAGCCACCTTGCACTGTTTAAAGGATGATCTGTCTTTTTTTTTCTTTTTTTCTATTCTCGCTTGACAGTACAGAGTAGACTGGATCATTGAATAAATATTTTATTAGTAGCAACGTAAAACACGGAAGAAATCGATTTAATATAACTTTGATTTTTTAAAAATGTCACTAAATGCGGGTACTTGTAGGACATTACCTTGCGATTACAATCGATTATTACATTATTTATTTATTATTTTTATTTCTTTCATTTTTTTGCATTTTTGTTGTCATTTACTTTTTTATTCCTTGCACCTTTTCGTAGGTTTTTTCCGAACGTCCCTATTAGAAGCGACTGCCTGGACAGAGATTTAATGATTGAATCACACAGCGAGCATGTTTATCTAGTTATCGTAAACTCTCTTGTGTAAAACATGGTTTGCTCCTATGGTTGGCTAGAACTCCTTTGCGTTTGAAAGTTTATGAAGTAGATTTACATTGACTTAATATCTTGGCATGCGTATTACAAAACTTTCTACTAAAGATATGTAAGTGAAATTAAACTGAATAAACAAATGCAATTAAACGAGCTGTTGAGTTCTTCTGTGTCTCAATGGAAAACATTATTCACTATGGTTTCTGTAAGACAGGACTCGTATATCCTTTCTGACCATGTAGTCACTTTATTAATCGGGAACTCTTCACAGCCTACGGCTGGTCTCCATCATGTGACGATTTCATTTGCCGCATTAACGTACAACCGACGCATCTGCCTGTTAAAATTTTTTCAGTGTTGTTTTTGCATGAATTCACCCTTAATCCTAGTCGGCACGGAGAGGGCGTTCGAAGCCCCTCTCCCTCCTGTCCTCGCTAAAATGTTGAATAACTTCAAAACCGTTCAAGCTATGTCCACCAAACTTTGCACCATTTCCTAAAAATTTTCTCGGGGACATTTAAAATTGGTCGTGACCTGTTCGTCAATATTTAGGTTAACATTGGAACCAAGTGAGTGAGTGAAGTGAGAAAACCCAGTCTTATTTATTTACAGTCATATCTTTTATAGAGGCACTTATTACTGACAATGTGCAAGTCAGTGTTTGCAAAAATACATAGTTGCGAGATTAAGTCCTTTATAGCGGGGCAGACACTAAAGAAGTGAAGGGAGATAAAAATATAGTGTATATACAATAACATTGAGAGGAAGACCAATATCAGAGTATATTTTGCATGCGTGAAGCACCAAAACTCCTCGTAAACACTACGAACTTTGTTGAACTGGAAGTAAATGTCCCGAGAACAATAGGCACTCTGCGCGATGTGCTATCGAACGCACGTCACGTCTGACGAAATATTTGTTTCCCCTCTCATTTATTCCCTCCGAGTTTTGGAATTTTATGTACTAAACGTCCATTAATAGTTATCGCTAATTTTTAACGAATTGTGCACGTTGTTTGGGTCCATAAAAAAAAATATTAGAATTTTTGGAGTTAGAATAAGATCTCATCGTTGGAAAGGTTAAGGTAATACAAGCGAAGATATTTCGATTTAATATTAGCTGCAATATAAACAGTGAGGCGCACAGCAACCAAGCGTGGAACATGGTAGCTACGCTTGTTTCTTTCCATGAGTGAGTCTCTCAGTCTATTGCTCATGGACATGGATGTGTTAAGCCTGGGACGTTCACGCAAAGTGATCCCCCACCGTGGTACAACGAGGAAGAGAGTTTTTGACATGTTCAAGTATTTCTAAAAGATTATACCTTCAGTGGAGAGCCTTTGATCTTCCCTAAAAGATGAGGTATATTTTATTGGTGGTGGCGCTGCTGGAGGCCCGTGACGTCACACAATAATAATAAATCAAGTAAAAACCGCGAGAATTGGTGTTTTTTGTGCTTGAAATGTAGAATAACACTTCATTCTATCCACAAGATCTACTTTTATCGTTTCACTGAAAAATGGGTAGACCACATGCTGGTTATGACATCATATCTCGTAACCATAGTAACTGATCATCACTAAACCTGTCTCAAAATGCGCTTGAGGGATAAAACAACAACTACTGAAAACTTGAGGTGCTGATGTTCAATCCTCTAGGAAAAAAAAGGCAGAAACTCCTTAGAGGGGATTGTCATCCCCCTTCACAATACAGTAATTAGTTTTTGCATGAGTGAAACTTTTGACCAATGTTACAATATGTTTTGACTTTTTTTCCATCGGCTTCTTATAGCTAGCCATAATCCATTAAAACAAAATTTAATTTGTGCCTTTACCCTTTGTGGTTACCCTATCACGTCTTTCGAAGTGGTGACAATTTGAGTAAAGGCAGGAGAGTAGAGAATAATTCCTGAATTAACATTACGTGATTAAATGTCAGTTTGTCAGGTTAATTGACCTACTTTGCAGTGGTGGGTCATACAAACATTAAAATCTACAGGTAATTTGAAAGATTAAAATTCTTAATTCATCTATTTATAAAATTGCTGACGAATACAATTTCTATAAGATCAAGTAAAACTTACAAAAAAACTAAGGAGAAAAGAAACATTTTAGCAGTTAGTTTGTTATTTATAGATTGAGAAAAAAAGCGCGCATATCCATCATTAAAATCTGATAGCTTGACAATCAATAAAAAATGAAAGTACAAACAAACGTTTTTTGATACATGTACCAGACCCTATACGACAATACTACTTGCGGGTAACTTATTATTTTGCGCAGTAAACGTACGCCAATTTGTTCAAAGAAACTGTTCCAGCTGAGTCCGTGAAATCGATTTTGTGAGCGTCATTTTAAAACTCCTTACATTTTCCTTTTTTTTTTTTTAGATTACTTAGAGGAAGTAATAAAAAACAGGAAAAGACTGAAGACACACCTTAATAGGGATATTAGCTTTTATGCAGCTGCACTAAAGATACCGGTTACATGTTGAATGTGACTAATTGTATCAGTCACCAAAGATTGGCTAATGAGTAACCGGTCAGAGTGAGCAATTCGTTGTAAAACGATAACGATTATTTGATCTCCGTTCACTTACAAGTGTTTACGAGTTTTGAAGCTTCTGCCTGCGAACTACGCTAATATATTGGTCTTTCATTCAAAGTTATTGTATATCCCTTATATTCTTATCCGTCTCTTCACTTCTTTATATATAGTAAAAAGATAAAGCAATGGCCAGTGGCTGTTTTCTCTTACGTAACCCCGCTATTACGAATTCGATATCGCTTTTTTTGCAAACACCAACTCGTATAGTGAATGGTTCCTTAAATAAACATTCCTCACGATTATAAATAGAACAAGTAATAGCAGTGGATTTGGTCAGCCTGTCAAATAACCTTTAGTCAGAGTTTTAAAAAGAGTTGTGTCAGGCTTATGCAAAACATTTGAACAATATTGCAAAATTATATTGATCTAACAGCTGAAATAGATATCCCTGTGCAACTTATATAAGTAAGAACGCCCATTGAAAAGTAACCACTGATTTAAGATCGAGTCATGCTCAAGTTCTTCTATTAGCAAAAATTGAAGAAATTCTTATTTATTTTTTTTTTTTTATTTTGGAAATTTTCTAGCGAAGCAAATTACCACTGTTACTATAAGTGAAGGAAATGCCCGAACGAGCCTTAATAAACCACGAGGTCTCCGCTCAAGGTCCTCCTCTCACGACAATTGTTCATAAGTCAGACATTAAAATTTGTTTAAGAGCGTAATAGTCCCTAATTTCACAGATCATTGTGTTGGGTTTCGTCTCGGTAGCGTTCCTTAAGTAGGTAAGATAACTTTTTTCGTCTACTCGGCTAGGTTAAGTGTAAAATATGAACCATGACTTACACTCAATCACGCTTTCTCAAACGCTGTTGTTTAAAATCTTTATAACTTCCTTGGTATTTTTGGCAATTTTAAATAAATTAAATAACTGATTACTACAGATTACTATCGGGGCTAATATACGACATGTACCGAAACAGGAAAATCTTTTAGTCAAGAAGGATATGTACCTATTGGATTTTACGTAGCTTATTGAACTTTAAGTGTAGGTCCTCGTCATATTTTTGATGTATTAATTGGTAACAAAACGTGATGTTTAAATTTCACACACGATGTTAATTTTAGAAAGATATCGTGGACGTTTGTTTTGAATCAAAATATCACGATGCATACGATGGTTACAAAGCATATAAAAGCGCGACGTGCGTTTCCATGAACCAGTAGTCAACTGAAGAAGTTTTGGAGATGAAGACTCTAATTCTGTTGGCATTTCTTGGCTTTGTACTGACCCTTAGCTTGGCTATTCCATTCAACGGAGATACTGCTGAAGTATATAATGCTGAAAGTAACGATCTTGCGAAGGACGTCCAAGCAGACGAAAAAGAAGGGTAAGAAAGAAACGTAGCCTGTTTTATGCAGTTACTAATAGACTTTCAAAGAGAATTATAGCTTATCTGCGTAGAATGAAATGTACTCATTTTCAATTGCATCATGTGGATGTGTCCTTTTTCATTGCTCTCCAAACAGTTCTGGGTTTAAGTGGTTACGTCGAGGTTATAGTTGTTGAGGCACTAACAGTCATAGGATTCAAACAAACGAAAACGCTTTGTTAAAACATTTTTCTTTTCATGAACGTTTTTCATCCAGCAAGTTACTAAATCAGTTATGAACCCAGC